CGAATTTCATCAATTCCAGCAGTCTTTTCATATTCCAAGCTTTTCACAGCTTGTGTAATTTCGTCTACAGAGGTAGTAGTACCCGTTCCCTTGCAGCTCTACAGGAAAGTCTTTTTGCGGTTGCTCAGGGCTAAAAATTTCCTCAAAGCACTCTCTCCATAGCCGAAGAATGACTCCATCCTTGGCAACAGAATGTCCAGACCCGTCCTTCGAGTCGCTTTCACTGCCCTTTCTTTCAGCTCGGAGCCGGCGGATGGTCTGCCAGAATATCTGCCGTGTAAAAATTCGACTCTAACACCTCAGCGAACCTCTCCCAGAAATCAGCTTTGGCTTTGGCCGTTGCTTTCGGAGCCGCCTTGCGTGTTTGGACATATTCAATGCGAGTAGAAAGTTCTTTGCTTCCAAGCCATCTCTTTAATGCAGTCTTCATCTCTTTAACAGTTCGCTGCACCTCTCGTGTCCGCCACCATAAAGTTCATATCTGACCCCCATGCAGCAGACAAACCTGTTTGAATCTGCATCATTTGGCGGTACGCCGAGTACACCTCTTTATGCAGCTTCCACTTGGTTTCCACATCAACTGTTATCATCGGCGTCTGTTCAAACCGTCGTGCGATGTCATTTGTACGTTTTGCTTTCGTATCCGCCAAAAATGATGCTTCGCATTTACTTCGCTGGTTCCTTCTGCCGCCAAATTTTCTCATTGAACTTCATTTCTTAAAGGCTAGCATGCAAGCAACATGTTGCTGATCGGTTGACAGTTCTGCGCCTTTTTTAACGTGAACACCTGTTACAAAGCATCGTAAGACAGTCGATGCGATTGTCAAATCCATCGCCGACGCTTATATGCAATCTTCCCTGTTCCATTCATACAGACTCACTCGCCAACGTTCGAAGAACGTGTTCTTAATGAATAGTCGGTTGTTTCTGAAAACCGCAGCAACTTTATGTCGCTATTGTTGAGGTCACTAGGTTGGCTTTTTTCGAATCACGCCTTATTTTTCAATGTCTGCTCCGATATGCGCATTTAAACGGTCGATGTGCATGAGGGGCTCGGTATTCGGCACTTGCTGCAGAGCACACTCAACCTTCTCAAGGAGGAAATAATATCATCCTTCCAAATTTAGTGCATAGTCCTGTAACAGGGTCAGCGTTTTAGCCTCCTCTATCTTCATTCAGAGGACTGCCACCACTGCGCTTAGAAGCTCCCAGCTTTCAATCAATGAATCTATCAGCGAGGTTGAGTTCTACAAGAAAACCAACACCGGCTTGAGCGCACGTCGTGATATCGGCATCTGAGTAAAATAGGTTCCACCCACAGTGGTACAGAATTCCAGTCTTGGCGTTTCGTTGACGAGAGTCCATCTGTATCGAGTTGGTAGCTTACGGTTTCATCAACTAACTCTGGTGCTTTCCCTCTGAGTGAGGATACATTCCGATTTCCGACAATACGCTCCCGCTGGCGATTATTTGCTGAGGTGCTATAATCACATCGCGTCGTCTTCTTCCTTCGTTCAAAACAGAGTGCGACTCCGTTGATGACTCGTACCATCGTCATCGTTCCGACAATCGTCGTCAGCATCTGCTGTGCTGCTGCGCCCCCTGCTGGCAGAAAATGATGTTCCAGTTCTGACTTCCGACATTTCGCATCACGCCTTAGTGCTGCAACAGCATGCACAGCCTTTATTAAATTCGACGATCGAGACGGTGTAATTTTCAATGACGTCAATATCATGAAGGGCAGGTAGCTTAGTTTTGCTGAGACTTCACACGGTCTCCATCCTGTTCCTTTCTGAATCGGGTTTGTGACCGGTAACGGCGGAATTGGCGATTGATCTCTTCCTCATTTGCCATGAACAGTAACGATTACTTCGAAATGCCGGAATCTTTCAATTTGTTCCATTGCTTCTCCGTTAAAATGGTGAGTGCAACTGGCAGGAGGATTAAAACAAGCAGATTTTTAATTTCAGGCAAGATGAAACGAATCCGGACACGTCGCACTCGCATGCAAACTTTTCCACAGTCATTTAAAAGTGTAACTACTTAATCTGCTGGATGGGACCAGAAGCTCAAATTCTGGCTCCAAGAGCTACCACAGCTGTGGCTACAAAACGAATTTCGGAAAGCTACCCTGCCATCTTCAAGAAGTCCCCTGAGATACTAGCCAAAATGTTAGTACGGATTAACACAGTTTCGTTGTTAGTCGTTTATGTATTTTCGACTTAGGACTTCATACTTTTGTGATTTAGTTTCATCTGTTTCATTCATGTAAATACTGCCCGTTTTTCAGTTTTACCGTTAGGAAAAAGGAAGACGAAGGTGAAGCTATTTCAGTTGCAACTTTAAGACGTTATTGAATCTCGAAAAGCGCGATTAGCTGGAAATGACAAGGACAGCTCCAAAGTTTAAGAATAATTTTGACTTAAAGGAACCTAATGAAATACAAACCGAAATTTTAATATTGCAAATCTTCTGGCTGACCACCTATTGTATTATTTAAATATATGCAATATCCTGGTTATTTTTGAGTAGCAAACTTAGATCATTTGCTGCATTATGTCCGCCACATTTTCTAACTAATTGGCCGCAGTCATTTTTCAGCTTAGTACAGTTGGCCCGATAACTATGACTGGCTATCTATTCGACAAACATGAAATTAGAATGTGATAAAACTGGATGGTGCATAAGTTTGTTATAAAGGTGTTAAAACTTATTGTTCATGAAGGTGTACTGTATTAATGGATGTCGGTAGGGAATTTAAAATGCTGTTAAATCGAAATGACAAGAAGTAAGGAAGAAGAATGATAATCGACAGGTCGAGCTGAGATGCTTGATGGCGGCTCGATATGCAGTAGTTCTACTGTAAACGTAAGTTACATGGATTTCATTCATAATTTCATATTCCAGTTACATCGGACAGAGTTCTTTTTTGGCGCCAAAATATTTCCGACGCTTGATGGACTTATGAAAGTTATGTAGCCACATGATAGCTCATTTTTGAATCTTTCTAATTTTTCTGGCTTATGAAATTGTGATTTATTGAATATAGTTGAAATGCAGTGGTGTGGTCGTTCGAATTGTCTATGAATCGCCAGTTTTCTGCTGGTTCCCAGTTCATACGTGACTTATCATTTATTTGTACTGCTGCTTAAGGACTACTGGAAAGTTTCTTGTCTGTGTCTCTCATCGATGAAAGTCTTTTACAAGATCAGGAGAGAAAAGTCGGAAAGAAACAGTCGCAGGTCTGATTAAATTGAAACATTTGATAAAGTCCATTGCATGAGGTTTGTATTCGTGTTTGATAGATGTGCTCGAATGCAGGTTGTCATTAGCTGGAACTTGCAAAACAAAAAAGCTTTCTGTCGCAGTAACCATACCGGCATTGTTGGTTATCAGCTGCGTTTCTTGTCGCATAGAATGACACACCAGTACACGTGGTTGGGACAAAAGTGAATTGAAAGTTAGACAACGAAAGTCACATGGTCCCACGAAGGCACACCGCAGTTCTGTGTCTCCTTTAGATGTATTTTCAGTGATCCAGAATTATGCTCAACTTTTAAATTTTTTACATGGAGAGCAGTATTTTTTGTAGCTGGACCGTTTATGTATTCTATTCAGTTTTTTGAGTAAAAAACGTTATCACAATAATGAAAGTGCAACTCAAGAAATATGCGCAATATGATTGTTTGTTTTTGTGATGACTACTTCCAATCTATGGCTTTCTTTAAGAAAGAGGAAGTGAAATTTTTCGATTGCTATGAACGTCGTCTGCAGCAGGATTTTTGTTTGCAACGGCAAAGAGCAGGCTACGGCAATTAAGTAGTTTCTCCACAACAGGTGCAGAGATACTAAGTCCCTTTAATTCATGTAAAATTATTATCCTTTGTCACGGTTGATATTGTTCGCAGCACTGGACGATTAATAAATCGTTTACGCTTTTATTCAGCTAATTTTTTTCGTTCATGATGCAGGTGCATTCTGACTATCGTGTGTGGGGGAGGGAGATATCCTTGCTGTTATTTGCTGTCGCTTGATCTACAATTCCGGAGATCTAGCGTTGCATTTAGCTTTGATGGGACTTTGTTTTCAGTCGTGATGCTTAGCTTTCACATTTCGCTCACATTCATCCGTGATCATTCATTTCCAGCTTAACAACGAAGGGAAGATTAATATCCAGATTGTGTCATTAACCCATACTTGTTTGTTCTAGTTTTTATTCTTGTAAACTTCACACGAAAATGAATGATATAATTTTTTAAACGTAATTCTGTCCGGATGATGAATATCCGACAAATGTTACATTTTAGTTGTCTCAGATTTTCTTCAGGGTAGAGTTGGGTGTTGGTCGTTAACAGTTGGATCATTCGGATTGAGGCCAAAAATGTACTACATATTATATACTGTTTCATTTTTTCACCATAAGATTGCTAAAATCTTTCAGATATTTATATTAAATGCACAGTTTTATAGTCAGCCATATGTTAAAATCTCTACTTTAGGATTATGAAATACTCTTTGATCACCGTATTGGAAAAGGAGGTTTTGGCGAGGTGTTTTTGGCTCGTTATCGGAGCACGAACAGAGATGTTGCCATGAAAATAGTAATTCCATTGTGCTTAAATGCCTCAGTTTGGTTGGATATATTTGCGCCAGTTTAGATTAACAAGCATCTTATAAGAGAGAAAGGTACGGAAAAGCGCGTCTGGGACGAAGTACGGATCCATTCGCAGTTGAAACACCCTCGGATTGTCGAGGCAGATATTTATTATGAAGCACTGTTGAAAAATCTGTTTTATTTCTCTAGCTTTTGGATTGTTTCCAAGATGAAAACAGTGTGTATATTGCACTGGAGTTTTGTGTTAACGGAGACATGCGCCGGTACCTCAAAACATTGGGTCGCCCTTTGGATGAAGCATATGGTAAATACGTCACACAAACCGCGGTTTTGTATTTGACACGATTTTAATTTGATTTATTTGCTTTTGCAAAATTTCGACTTTTAACTCTCCATCTGTTGTGACGTAAAACTGAAACGGCAAACATGCCGCATTTATGAAGACAGTCGATGAATCCGTTATTCGATTTGTTATGAATGCTCCATGAACTCAAATCGACGTTTATGCGGTATTCCCAGTTTTTTTGCCTCCACTGCTTGCCAAATAATTTGACTGTCAGATCGACCCATGCTATTTTTGGAAGACCTACTGGACTGTTGTCTTTTAGGCGAGCCCTATCGACGATTCATTATTAATGGTTAAGTCGGTTTAAATGATCTTTGCGTTTTTTGAACACATCTCTGGTGAACTACGTATTTAATTGGAACAGCTAAATCTGATATTATAGCAACATTTTATTGCTTATGCTCAAACACAAAGAATTTCGTCTTTCAGCAAAATACGCTTTATAATCGATATTAAGTGAGTAATAAAGTAGTTAATTAATTCATACTTTGCTCTTTTTTCACTTTTCGTCTGCTTTAGCTGCCGTCGTTTTGGAACAGGTTGTGGATGGTGTAATGTACCTTCACAGACGGGGAGTCATCCATCGTGATCTTTCAGCGTCTAACATTTTTCTTGACAAAGACTGGAACGTGGTGAGCATGTTTTCTCTCCTGAAACTTTCAGCAAGAAAATCATTTAAAAGATTGTCAGGTTCTATGAAAACGCTCAGGGCAAAATGTCATCGTCAAGTTAAAATCCTTGTTTACTGAGGAAAATGTTCACATAAGTAATGCTATTGCTTTATGCAATTCTGCTTAAGTCAATGATCATATATGACTCAGAATCATTGACCATAAGAAACGGCTACGAGCACAGCCTATTTGCAACGGATACGATCTGCTTTATAGACATCAAAGTAAAGTTAGTGGTTATTGTTGGCTTGTGTCGCTGGCGTAAGCTACAGCAGCTGGTTCTTAATATAGCTTTGAACAACCATGAATCTTACCTTGAAAACTATTCTTTAAAATACCGACCAAAACATTAGTAAAGATCTTTCACTCGGTGGACCAATCTTTATGCTTTATGTTTAAATAAACTATTTTGAACCGTATTTTGGTGTGACTTCGAAAAGTGAGCAAAATCCTTCACTGCTCAGCAGCATCAAAAGAGAACCATGTTACCCTGAACAAGCCTCAGTGACCATATTTAACACCCTAAGGTTTATACGGACTTCGGAAGTGACCTTTGAACGGATTTTTTTCTCATGGAGACATTCAAAAACCAGGATCTCGTAGAAAATAGTTAAGCGAGCACCTTAAAAAGTTAAGGTAGAGAGAATGCGAAGTGTTTTTGGAACGTTATTCTCCATATTAATCTCGTGGGGGATTGCTGAGTTTACAGTCTGTGATACCAGATTTTTTAATGGGTAGCCGTTCAGTTCTGGCACAGATATGATGTTTTGCTTAAAAATATTAATATATTAAAATCTTAATCCTGCGTATCACCATAAAGTCATGATTTATCATCCCGGGAAGATAGTAGAATGCCCAAGAACATGAGGTTTTTGAGATATTTTTGTGCAGCTTGTAAATTTCTCAACCTGTTTATATAAACAGCAGTTAGTCACAAATGACTGAATGGACCTACAGATATTTCATAATCTGTCTCTGTTGCATTAATCTTCCGTACGAATAGTCAGGAAATGCGAGGATGGCTCAGCAACTACCTGACTTTTAGTGCCACTTATCTTCATTATTGTAGAATACCTGTGGAATATGAAAAATAGACATTGGTTACATACAGGACTCGTTTGTCATGCATGTCAGAGTTATCAGCTAAGCTTCAGAAAGACCATCTCAAGTCAGATTCAAATTTTATTGGCGTAAGTTTGTCCAAAAGGACACGGCAGGCACCTTACTCCTCGTGAGAATGCACTAAACAAAATGCAAAACAACATATACCAGAATTGTGATTTAAAACAAATACTAGAAAGTTCAAGTCTTTGATTCAACGTTACTTCGGTAACTAGGCATTTTGCTGTCATGGCTTGCGGGTACGGTAATATTGATTAGTCCGTGGATCTGCACGTTTCTGGCTCTATATTGTCTGACATTGTTGACAGTCATGCACGTTCATCGGCTCATTCTGGTCTCTTCGGAATCAGGTTTCAAGGCTAACCATCAATGATGTGAAACGTGATAAGCGCGTACGTGTTTTTAGCATAATACGTTAACATATCTGATTGTCACATAAGCATTGTAGCACGGTCGTTATTCGCTGTCTTAAATGAAAATGGTGAAACGGTACCTTAAATCACTCAGATTATTTTTCATGCATGTGTGGGCAAATAGCGAACCAAAACCGCCCTGACAAAGTCAATTGTTTTTCACAGTAGCCGTTAGCAGTGCATTTAAAGAGGTTTTAGAAAGTGACCATGAAAAGACTGCGACATTCGATAACTACTGAAAGACATACGGATTAGATGTATAAATAACCATCGTTTTGTAGGTTTGTCGTTTGGTCTTTGACCTCATGACTAACATAAGGTTCATAAAATTTTGTTTGTTTAATGATTGTCTTCTAATATTGGTTTAAAGCGAAAAATTTCGTAGAAAATAGGTGATTTTGGCCTCGCCGCGCAGATGTCAGGACCGAATGAAAAACACTTTACGATGTGCGGCACTCCGAATTATATTGCACCGTGAGTTCATGATGAGTGCCTGCGTCACTAATATCATGTGATTTGCATTTCAGTGAAATCGCAATGCGCAAACCGCATGGCTTGGAGGCCGATATTTGGAGTTTGGGGTGTCTGTTGTATACTTTTCTTTCCGGTCATCCTCCTTTCGGTTCCAACGGCCAAGTCAGCACCACTCTGAAACGCATTGTAACCAATCAGTTGGAACTCCCTCGTCACATCTCAAATGAGGCTGCTGCATTGATTCGCGATTTAATGTGTAGCGATGTCAGGCGACGAATCAAATTACGCGGTAAACGGTTATGTTGCCTTATATGACCATTTGTATAGTACACATTTTCAGGTATTCACAGCCATATATTTTTTCAAAAGTATCGAACTGGTAAAAATTACATGGTAAGTAGAGTATGCCGTATTTATTATAGTTTGGTGTGTCTTTTTACGCCTAAGTACATTCCCTTATTAACATGTAATAGCTGGAGAGTAGACATTAATTAAAATAGAGAATGGCATGTCTATCAGTAGTAAGGAATGCAAACGTTTGAAGGGCTCGTTCCATTTATGTGCTTCCTTATCTTATGTTCAGTCCTCTGCGGTGGTAGCAACCAATTAGGGTCTTATAAGAGGATTGCTATTTAGTGTTCCAGCTGAAAAATTATATTCCCTTTTCACAGTAGTCCATCTCTCCGTGACCTAGTCACGTCTGTATTGGCTGCTGTACGACACTGAAACTGTCGTTCTGACGGGTAAGGGCGAAGAACTACAGCTGAACGGGCTACATCATCTTTGATTTCCAGGTATAAGGGTGAAATAACTGGGTCATGTTAATATGACTGCACCCTTCCGCTCATAGGTATTCTCGTTAATTATGCTGATATGAAAGGGAATTTGCCCTGTTTGACAACTTTGTCAATCAAACCTTTCACTAGCCCGTGAGATTTTTACTTGAGAACTGAAACCGGAAAGCCTGCATGCAACAAGGATGAACACTATAGAGGTCGTTCTACGATTACAGAAAACATATATTTTCTACGATATTAAGGATTCTGCCTTTTAGCTAACCAGTTTAGCATTTGCACTCTTGAGATGATAAAGTGGTCGATTGGGGAAACTACACGTTGTCATAATAATAAACAACAACAATGAGTTATAGTGGTTTCGCTCGGTTTGTTAAAATCCCGGTGTTGCGATGCTGTGTCGAAACATTCTTAAACGCATGAGTTCATTTTTTAGGTTTTGGTGTGATTCTTCCATAGAGCTTAAAACTTGTTTTCTCCTGTACTCCCACACCATCATAAACAATAATTCATTCACATTTTCAGAGTGGTGGTTCAATGGACAGTGGCCACTGCACCTTATCAACTGGGATATCTTCATCGGCAGTAATTTTTCATTGTAAAAAGATTTTTCTCTAGACGCTAGGCAAATCTACTATTAGGTGGGTAGACCGCGCGCTTCGCGACGTCTCGACCGGAAATATTGCCAAACAGGGCCCGTTCCAGTTACCGTGCCCCTACGCACTTTACACCAGAGGTAAGCACGTCATCAATCGCCAATTACACATTGCGACTTTGTGAGACGTTTTAGAACTAGCTGCCTTATACCATCAGGACCTTTACCCGCTCTCCAAGGTACAGTTATTATCAGCGATGATGAAGAAAGAAGTTCCCGGCATGCATATTCCAAGAACTGCAGCTATCAGCATGGTACAACGACATCGGTTAAACTCTGCCCCTGCGTTCATAGTACAGTTCTATCGAACAACGTCTGCGCGCATTGCGGGCAGGCAATGCAACTTGCATATGTATGCAACCACAGTCGCCTTAACGACTTGAGGTGTTGTATAAAGTGTGGCCAGGAGGTGCCGCATTTGCAGCCTCAGAACA